ACGGCCCGGGCGCTGCGCCTGCCCTGGCCGGCGTCGGGGGCGCTGTGGCCTGGCCCGCGGTCTCCGCGGAGCTCCGCTCCGCTCGCGCCGGGAGCGCAGAGGGACCCGGAAACGGCGAGCGCACGGGAGGGGAAGCGCGGAGCGCGGCAGAAGGTCTCCGCTTCGGGGAGGCGTGGGAAGGGACGTCTGCGTGTCCCCCGGCCCCGGCTCCGCTCCCGGGCGCCCGCCGCGCCTCCTCGGGTCTCAGCGCCCTTTCTCTGTCCGTCGCTACCTCCCCTCCTCTCTCTCCCCCTCCTTCCCTCCCTCCTTTTTACCTCTTTCCATCTCGCCTTTCCCTCCTATATATTTATCTCTCAACCTCTGTATTTCCACCCCCTCTCACTCCATCTTTCTATATGTTTCTCTCTCTTTATATATCTCCTGTTTTTCTTTCCTTTCTATGAATTTCTAATCTTCTCTCTCTAGTTCTGGTTTTTACCTCTGTCTTCTCTCTCCTTACTGCTGTCTACCTCCCTCCTCTCTTCCTTTCCCCGCTCCCACCTCTAGCTCCTGTGCTGGGGCCTGCAAGAGAGTTGTCTGGAACCAAGCCTTTGTGCAGGTTTTGCGGGGGGGGCGGTGTCTGCGGCTGGGTGACTGCACAGTTGGCAGAGTTTCCCACGGGCGCGCGTGTGCACACACACTCACTGAGCTCGGAGTTTGCTGGCAGTTCACCTCCTCGCCCTGTCCGTCGTGGCCCATAAATGCTTTGGGAAGGTTTACCTTGGGCTCCGTCCCCAGCCAGGGAGAGAGCACCTCTTAAAAGGGTGGTGCGGGTGGTTTGAAGGCGACACTCCTCCTCCAGGGAACCTGCCCAGGAGCCTGTCAGGTGGCCAGGCTGAGACAGCTGTGTTTTGCTCCAGGTCAGGTCAGGTTGCCTGAAAGGTAAACGTGGGCTCCCAAGTGCAAACCCTCCAGGTGGCTTTTAGGCATCCACAGAGCCTGGGCACTAGGTGGCCTGCTGACCTTCTCTGCTGCCACGTTTCTCAGGGGATGGTCACCAAGGCCACGGTGACAGCTCCTCTCCCCAGGCTTTGCCCAGGTGTGAATCACCCCCCCCCGCCCCCCACCAACCCCGGACCTGCCCTAGGAGGTTGGGAGAGCTGGCCCTGGGGTGCTCCTAGGTTGTCCTGTTGATGGGGGCCTGGCCAGGTGCTCCCCACACTGGGGGCAGGGGGGGTGCTCCTCCACCAGCTTGACCCCTCTGGTCCAGCGGGCTACAGAAGCCTGAAGGACAGCTGGGCTTCTTTACAAGGTAGCCGAGGGCTGGGGGCCTTGCAGGTGTCTTGTTCCACTGGCCTTTCAGGTATGCTCTTACATAGCTCAATGAACAGGCTGACCACAGTCTGGTTGTATTTCTGTAAAACCTATTGGTAGTGAGGAATGCCCCGCCTGAAATCCTGAGGGAGATGGCGAGATGCAGAAACAGCCCCAGCCTTTTTGACTTTTGAATAAAAAATATTTATGGAGTGCTCGGTGAACTGTAATGGGTCATACAAATGTGGGTTGGTTCTCTAAACGCCTGTACGTATGCGCATACAAATGCACACACACATTTAGTCCTTCCCTGGGGTTCACGGTGGGGTGAGAGCTGGGAGGTCCAGCCGGTGCCGGGGTGCTGAGATTGGCTGGCATCCGCTCAGCCGCTTGATTGTGAGAGACACAAGTATGCAGCCATGCTTTTCCTCCAGGCTTCACAGACCCATCCATTAGAATCTATCAGTCTGCACGTCTCACACGCAGATGAGAGATTTGCCTGAAAATCCCTGTCGGAACAATTCACGGCTTGAGGTTGCGGTGGAGGGGGGGGGGGGGGCTTGCTAAAGCTGATGGATTAAGTCTCCTGTCCCCGCCCCCTCCTGGAATTCCTGCGTGTGGCTGTGGGGTTACGTTTTTTTCCTATGAAAATATCTGTACCCTGGATATTTACTGCTTACATGCCATTATTTTAAGTAGCAGCGTCTGTCACCGTTTATATAGTCAAATTTGTCTCTCATCCAGTGGCGAAGAGAGGGTATCCCTTCTTGGCGTCTTTCCAGACTCCCTGCCCCTCCCCCCTTCTTTCATGTCATTCGGAACATTAGGTGGATTTTCTCCCTTCTGAACCTGTTCCCGTCTTTCCAAGTGCTGTCCTAGTTGGGGGTATACAGCAGCCTCCTCTTGAGATGTGAAAACTACAAGAGGGTAGCGGAAACATTACTGCTGACATATAAAGAACAGTCAAACAGGGACCGTACAGAGCCCCAGACTGATTTCGTTTGGTGGTATTTCCACCTCTGAAACACATCGGTTAGGGGCCCCGTTGCTACACCTTCATGGTGGTAAATGCTTCTTACAAAACCTGTAGCTTCCTTCAAGTGCAGACCGTAACTCAGGGAGACTTACTGCCTTGGTGAATCGGCTAAATGTACAAAGAAGTAAGTTCTCGACTGGCGAGAGCTGGCGAGATCCCTTCTGTTTGTCATCACAGAAAGCTGAGAGTTCTGTGTACAGGTCTGGACTTACTTATCGTTTCCCCACTCAGAATCCAGTTTCCTCATCTCTGTAAAGTAGGTTGTGTACTGTCTGCTGAGAGAAGGTTTCATCTCAGCAGGGGCTTAGCTCCACTGATGGTTTTCCAACTTAAAGAGGGAAGGAAGGGAATGAAACCTTCCAGAGAAATCCTCACCTTATCCTTGGGTGGCCACTATAATTTATAGAGGTGATTCTTGGCCCTGAGTTCACATTAAAATCATTTGGGGGAGACTCTGGAAAAAAATCCATGCTGGTACCCCACACCACGTTAGAATTGCTGCAGGTGGGGCCCGGGCATCCTGGCTTTAAAAAGCTTCTTAGGTTCAGCCACTGGTTGAGAACCACTGATTGAGGAAGGAGGGACTGAAGGATTGCGGGTGAGAAAGACGGAGGTGAGCTCCAGGTCTGTCCCTCACCGCCTGTGCAGGGGGACCTCCTTCACTTGTGGGTCCTAGTTCCCTCGTGTCTGGGATGATGAAGCCTTAATGGCTGATGGAGGCCAACGTAGCAAGTATCTTACACATATTATCTTGTGATTAATCCTCCCGAGAACCTTTATGAAGCATCCCTGCATTTCACAGAAAGGGAAAACCGAGACCCTGAGAGATCAAGAAACTTGTCCACGGCCCGAGGAAGTGCCAGGGCCCGGCTTTGAACTCTGCTTGGCTCTAGACCCTCTCAGCCGCCATGCTCTTGTGTTGTCAACTGATTCACTAAAATGCCCATCCCTCGCTCTCTGCCAGAGAGCGTGTCGGGTTTGGAGGGCCGTTTGCTGCACAGAGGTTAGGCGCGAGTTAAAATGTGCATGCAAAGCAATGAATGAGTTTGGCATCCACCACATAGTCCAGAAGAGCTTTGAAAAGAGATTTTGCTGAGCTGGGGTCTCCCTACCCCACAGAGCCTCAGCCCACCTGCCTGGGGCAAGCTCACTTAGATGTTTTGTTTTGTTTTTTTTTAAGATTTTTTTTTTTGATGTGGACCATTTTTAAAGTCTTTATTGAATTTGTTGCAACATTGCTTCTGATTTATGTTTTGGTTTTTTGGCCGTGAGGCATGTGGGATCTTAGCTTCCTGACCAGGGATCAAACCCACAGGCCCTGCATCAGAAGGAGAAGTCTCCACAACTGGACCGCCAGGGAAGTCCCTAGATGTGTATTCTTAACACGGACCAACCAGACTGTCTGGGCTGGTGTGATCTCAGGAGAGGGTTTGTGTCCAGCGGAGCACAGTCCAGGGCCAATCACATGGACCCATTCCCCAGAGAGCTCTTCTTGGGCAGTGGCATCACCGCAGGGTCACAACAGGGCTTCCTGTGCAGCATGTGGTTTGCCCTTGCCTGGCAGCAGCAGGGGAGCAGGTTGCCATGGTTACTGTAGACACCCAGCCGCGGAACTTCCATGGGGCTGGCCCTGTCTACAGCTACAGCTTGGCCGTCAGTCTTCCATTAGTTCCCCGGAAACTCGGCACTGAAACATGACTTA